TATATACTATTTATTAACTGTACAAAGTAATAATAATAAAGGTTAAAGGTCAGACATAGTCTTTTCAAAATTCAGAAGAATTAACAACAATCTTTAGTCAATTTATTCATTCATTTATTTATTAATTCATTTAATTATTCATTTATTATCTGTACAACCACAAAACGTCATTTTTATTTAAAATAAAATGATATTTATGTACACTGTATATGGGTCAACAAATTATATCATCTTTTATATATATATATATAATTCATCTTATATATATATATATATATATATATATATATATAATTCATCTTTTAAATTTTTTAGCCTTTGCAGCCTGAAAAAGAAAAAAAAATTACATTAATAATAAGCATTAATTCATCATCAAATTATGAATGGAAATATAAAGTGAATTTTAGATAGTAATTACAATAAAGGTTAAAGGTCAGATGCAGTCTTCTTAGGTCAAGAGGGGTCAACGACGGCACACGAACATCCTATATTATGAATACACATAACTAAACAACGCTTCACACAAGAAGCATGTGATAAGTAAGTGAGGATCCTTTGGTCGTATTCGAACCAGGTCCCTGCAAAACAGCACCAGGCGACCTTAACCACTAGGCCAGGGCCCTGTTCGCCAAGAAAAAGGTTGTCACAAATCATTAAAAAAATTCTCCCCCGGGTCGAAACAATTTGCTATTTGAGTACATATGCGGCCCTTCAAAGGTAAAATAGTTCTCAGTGGGGCCCTCGCAGCAAAAAGTTGGCCCACCCCCGTACCGGACCATCATGCCGCCAAAATAATAAAAGTGGATGAAAGAATAGATGAGTGATTGATTGGTTGAATGAAAGAAATGAAAAAAGAATGGATGAATGTACCGAGGAAAAGATGAATAAATAAATGAATGAATGAACGAACGAACGAACGAATGAATAAATGAATGAATGAATGGATGGATGGGAAAAATTATTATTAACCGAATTTGAAGGCTCTTGATTTTTCGACAACGACTCCTTCTCCTTACTAAAAAATAATTATTCAGTAATACTAACAATTGAGGAACACATAAATAAAATCCCAAAACGTAAAACAACAATAACAATCATACAATAATGACACCAGTATTAGTACTAGTAGTAGTAGTAGTAGTAATAGTAATAGCAGTAGTAGTAGCAGTAGTAATAGTAGTAGTAGCAGTAATAGTAGTGGCAGCAGTAGTAGTAGTAGTAGTAGTAGTAGTAGTAGTAGTAGTAGTAGTAGCAGTAGTAGTAGTAGTGGTAGCAGCTGTAGTAGTAGTAGTGATAAAAATAATGTTGAAAACATTACACTTCAGTGGCAGCAGTCTTCCTCTTCATGTTTCTGTACCTAGGGAAAGATGGCATCAAATCAGGCTCACAGGCTGTCAAAAAACAATCAAGAGCTATATAAATTAACCGGGCATTCCTTCATTTAATCAATCAATCATTCATTCATTCATACATTCATTCATTCATCCATTCATTCATTCCTTCATTCATTCATTCATTCATTCATTCATCCATTCTTCTACTCATTCATTCATCCATCCACTCTCCCATTCAGTACTTCATTCAACCAATCCTTTATCTTTATGAATAAAGAAATATTTATGATATCCAAATCTGGTTCGCGTGCTGTTAAAAAAATAAGCGCTATACAAATCAAAAAGCTAAATAAATTACGCGCTAAACAAGTTGAATAACTACATAAATTAAGGGCTGCATAAATTAGTAAATTCACACATTTGACAAAAAAACACTAATAAAAAACTTTATAAAAAAACACATTTACGAATTAATATCCATTATCTATATTGTGGCCAAAAAATTATTACTAAATACACTATATTTAAATGTATTAAGTAAATTGACTAATTAATTAATTAATTAATTAATTAATTATTAGTACATACGGTACGGATGTTCCCTGAAGTAAGACGAGTCTAAGCATTCAATTGCAGAAGCCCTAAATTTTGTATCAAAAAAATTTTAATCAATCAATCAATCAATTAATTTATTAATTATCCAATTAATCAATCAATTATTGAATCGATTTATCTAAAAAAATAAATAACCAATAAGCCAATCAATCAATCGATTGATCGATCAATCCATCAATCAATCAATCGATCAATCAATCAATCAACCAACCAGCCAACCAACCAGCCAACCAGCCAACCAACCACCAACCAACCTACCAACCAATCAATCAATCAATTAATCAACCGATCATTCATCCATTCAATCATCCAACCAATCATTCATTCATTCATCCAACTAATCGATCTATCAAATAACCTTTTCGTTGGATCATACATAAACAAATGATTTAGCAATCTCAGGCCGGCTTCCGAAATCCATTGCAAAGAATGTCTTAGATTATTATACCTGTGTAAACAAATCATCATTATATCTATGTAAATAAATCATTATTACATCTATGTAAAAAAAATCATTATTAAATTTATGTTAATAGATAATTATTACGTCTATGTAAATAAATCATTATTATATCTATGTAAATAAATAATTATTACGTCTATGTAAATAAATCATTGTTACATCTATGTAAACAAATCATTATAACTATGGAAATAAATCATTATCATATCTATGTAAATGGATAATTATTACATCTATGTAAATAATTCATTGTTACATTTATGTAAACAAATCATTATAACTATGGAAATAAATAATTATGATATCTATGTAAATAAAGAATTATCATATCTATGTAAGCAAATGCTTCATATATCTATGTAAACTTATAATTTTATCTATGCGAACTAGATCATAAAATATATTCACCAGTCAACAACACCATCACTGATTAAAATTAACAACAACAATAGGAAAATAATAATAATAAGAAAAACAACAACAGCAACAACAACAACCAACAACAACAACAATAATAATAATATAAACAATAAAAAAGCCAACGGTTGTCTTTTTAGGGTAAAGTTTCCAAGAACTGGCAAATTGGAGAAACCCTGGTTTCGATGGAGGAATATTATTTTTAGCAAATCATTAATTGCACCTTCACTCCTCTCTTTCAATTAATCAATCATTTGTCCATTTGTTCATTCTCTCGTTCTCTAATTCTTTCATTTACGAATCATTCATCCATATATGAATCATTCATCCACTTATGAACCAATCATTTATGAATGAATGATTATGTACAAGTGGTATCAAGATATACGGATCACTTCATCCATTCATTCATTTATTCATTAATCCTACCATTCATTCATTCATCAATTCATTCACCGATACATTAATTCTATCACACATTCGTTCATCCATCCGTCCATCCACTAATTCACTAACCGGCCATATTTGTTCGGTGGGTGTGCCAAACATGTCGATGATGAGTTCGATCTGGTTGATCTCCGTTCGACCAGGTAGTAAGGGTTTGTGCACCAACAACTCACCCAATATACATCCGGCAGCCCTAATCATGGTGATCATTCATTCATTCATTCATTTATTCATTCGTTCGTTCATTCATTCGTTTGTTCATTCATTTAGTCATTAAAGTTGATTTGCTCATTCATCTATTTATCTACTGGTTCATTCATTTGATTGTTCGTTCATTCAAACCAATTAGAAGTTTATTCGTCTGATGATTCATTCATTCATTCATTAAATTATTCACCCACACAATTTCTTAATCATTCAATCACTTGTCAACTTTTTCATTTATTCATTCATTCACTCACTCATTCTCACCACATATCAATGGCAGTTGTTTGAATTTTTGAACCAAACAACAATTCGGGCGCCCTGTACCACAAGGTCACGACCTTCGGGGTCATTGGGTTCAAGGGCACTCCATACTTCTTAGCCAATCCAAAGTCAGCTGTACAAATAGATTTGCATAAATTAATGCTTTTTAAACATCAGTTAGTCTATGTTAATGTAGTTTATTAATGAATGTTTAAAAATAATTTATCATGCAAAATATTTACATTATCTCAGTTATATGCTAATTAGTTGATAAATACTTGTGAAAAAATTACCCACGAATATGTTAATCAGTCACGAATATGTTAATCAGTCATGAATATGTTAATTAGTCATGAATATGTTAATTAGTCACGAATACGTTAATTAGTCATGAATATGTTAATTAGTCATAAATATGTTAATTAGCTCACCAATCTTAACGCAGCCTCTATCAGTTAGTAGGAGGTTCGAAACTTTTAAATCCCTGCAGATATTAATGAAATAAAAATCCTTCAAATAGAATAATCTGAAGGCTACAACTAACTAAAAAAAGTTATGTCTGAATGAATTTAAACACACACACAAACACACACACACGCACGCACACACAGATACAAACACACATACACACCTATGCACGATATAATTCTGATGTATACATACCCACACACACACACACACACACACACAACACACGCACACACACACACAGATATAAACACACAGATATAAACACACAAACACACATACACAGATACAAACACACACACACACAAACACACGCACGCACACACAAACACACACACACAAACACACGCACGCACAGATACAAACACACATACACATACACCTATGGACGATGTAATTCTGATGTAGATACTGGAGACCCTCAAGGACCTGCTGCATGATGCACTTGACCTGTGACTCTTCGAAAGGTTTTTGCATGTTGTCGAGGAGGCTGGCCAGATCTTGCTCGCAGTACTCCATCAGTAAAAAGATACTAAATAGGTATGCGAAATTATGAAATTATAGTCTAATAATTATGAAATTATGACGTCATATCATTGATTGGTTGATTGATTGATTAACTGATCAATCATTCAAGCTAAATTATGATGCCATATTATTAATTGGTTGATTGATTGATTGATTAACTGATCAATCAATCAAGCTATAGTTTAATAATTATAATATAATAATCATAATTTAATAATTGGTTGATTAATTATTTAACATCATTCAAGCTATAGTTTAAAAATTATAATATAATAATCATAATTTAATAATTAGTTGATTAATTAATTAACTGATAATTAATCAAGCTATAGTTTAATAATTATAATAAAATAATTATAATTTAATAATTGGTTGACTAAATAATTAAATGATCAATCAATCAGGCTATCAATTTTGTTTATTCATAATTTAAAATATGTTTGGTATCAAAATTTAGTTTTTAACTAAAGAATTATAAGTGTCATCCACCACTATACACACACACACGCACACACACAAAACACAAACACAGAGACACAAAACACACACACACACACACAAACACAAACAACAAACACATCAAAATTAAAACAATATTTATGATGAATATTTCAAAACTCAAATCTATAACAACAATATTAATTATAACAATTATTACTAATAATTATTATAATATATTAATATATTTAATATAATTATTATAATATTATAACTAATATTTATGATGAATATTTCAAAACTCAAATCTATAACAACAATATTAATTATAATAATTATTACTAATAATAATAATAATATTATTAATATGTTACCTATCTAGATGCTTGCCAACGACAATTTCTTTGAGTTGCACGATATTTCGGTGTCGGAGGTTAAGCAGTATGTTAACTTCTCTGAGACCGCTGACAGGAAATCCTAAAATTAGGGAAAGATATTTAAATAAATAAATGCAATAGATAGAAATAAATAACAATAAATAAAAATCCTTGAGATTGTGGAAAAAATAGCAAAATAAAAAAGCTAGGTACTCTAAAATTGTGGCAAGAATTTTTTTTTTACAAATTATGACAGTCATAATAATAATAATAATAATAATATAATTATAGTTAAAATATTATTATTATTATTATAATTATCATTATTATCATTATCAATATCAATATCATTATTATCATTATCACTATCAATATCAATATCATTATCATTATTATTATTATTATAATTATTATTATTATTATACCTTCTTTTTCCTGCTCCATCCTCATTTTCTTCAGGGCCACTATCTCCCCACTATCTCTATCCATGGCTCTATCTGCCAGGTAATTATGAATGAATAAATATATAATCATAATAATTACAATCATAATTTTGAATGAGTGAATGAACGAGTGAATTAATGACTGAATGAATGAGTGAATTGATGACTGAATGAATGAGTGAATTAGTGACTGAATGGATGAATATATGAATGGATGAATGAATGAATAAATGAATAGATGAATGAATGGATGAATGAATGAATAAATGATTGAATAAATGAATAAATGAATGAATGAATTAATGAATTAATTGAATAATAATTAATAATAAAAAGTCTTGAAAGAGTTATGACTGAATGAATGACTGAATGAATGAATGAACTAACAGACAATTCCGTACGTCCCCTCCCCAATTCTATTGAGCTTTTCAAAGCTTGAAACATCTCTACAGCAACCCATCTGCCGATGAAAATAGTAATCAAAAATCAGGCACAAAAAAATAGAAAATATAATATAGAGATAGATAGATAGATAATAATATACACATACAACACACCAAATAATGATAATCCAATGGGCTATTTTATAACAAATTATTAATAAATAATATTTCAAATATTAATTAAATAAACTAATTTTTTGAAACAAGAGATGCAAGAAAGAAATAAAATTATTTCAATTTTTTTTCGGCAACGAATCACGTCCCCAAAGGATCACAGAGACCAGGGACTAATAATTTAATTATTAATTATTAAATAAAAAAAAAATCGATCAAACTTAAATTAAATATTCGTTTTGAAATTAAACAAACTCTTTCAGAATCCGAAATATTCCACGTCTTTCCGTTGCGAAGCGATTGCAGCGTTAATCCGGATTCCATTAGTAAAAATTTAAAATTAGGCAGCAACGGTAGACATTCTATTTTATTATGTAGGCTTACTTTTACACAATGTTTTAATTTCTCTCAGCTGTTTATTATTTATCTATGTAGTTTAAAAGTCGCATTGCTATGGTAATAATGAAAATATTTTCCGGGCTGTTTAGGTAAATTGGAAAAAAAAAGTTTTTTAACAAACATCTCTTGAAGTTTACGCGAATGTTTCATTTAAATTTAAAATAAAATTAATTTGAAAATGAAATGAAATGAAACTAGAAAGTTAGCTTAAGACTACGCTACGTATGCTCGGTACTAAAAAGAAATATGCTATACCTTCAGGACAGAATCGAATTAAAAAATGAAAAATTCTTGCGGGAATGGCCGGCATGTAAATCATGAACTGGATAAAATCGCTTCTGAGGAGCTATTAAAGGTTGCTGACTCATACGATCACACGATAAAATACTCATCAGATAATACGGATAGACTGAGGATAGTTAGTGAAGACATGTTAGATTTTTTTGGTCCATGGGAGTTTGATCACTTTATCAAAAAAATGAACTTAAAGTTGGTGAAACCATACTTTGATGTCACTGGTGATGTTAAGAAGAAACGTCGCCAAAAAGAAAATGATTTTAAATTAGATCTCTGCCTTGATTACACTGCCTGCGTTGACCCTGTGACTTTTCAATATTGTCCCGACTCTGGAGCCTACATTAAATTCAAATCTTTGGTCAGATCATTGGCCAGTCAAAGCGCCAAACGTTATTGGACTGGAAACCTTTTAAACGGTCAGCCGTTAACGAAAGAAATGTTGAAAGCAAAAATAAACGAAATAATAAACTACGAAGCGTCAAATATTAAAAGTTCCGCTACGAGTTTTTCCGTTCAAGCTAATAGCTTTGAAAACTGCCCAGACAATTTACTCACAAAATCTGTAACACAAGCAGGCGATCAGAAATCTTCAGACACGGAAGCTGCAAACATGAAGGCGAAAACATCATCTCCCAGAATCCAATCAAGAAGACAAACGAAAGTGGCATTTGTCGCACGTTCAAACGCATTCAAATCAACGGTTACTCCTATTTCAAATGTTGCCGATGTTTCTAGCAATAAAAAAGTTGACAGTCCAGAGTTGGACACAAAATCTCAGCCTCAAAACACCGACAATCGAGTAAAAACTGCTGATACCCTCGTCACTACACGTCCTAATTTTGTAAAAAACTTTTCCGCCGATTTTAACTTCAAGAAAGATTTCAAATACGTTAAAAGTCGACCTTCAATACCATCAAAATCAAACCTATTTCCGGTGAACATTCCAGATTGCTGTGGAAAATCTATGCACGTTAACACCTTGCCGCCCATCAACGGTCAGAAAATACGGTCGAAAACTCTTCCTAGAAAGAAATTAAAAAACACTTGATCAGATTTTAGATATTACCTTTATACGATTCAATTCGCGTTCTTTATACATATTTTTTTTCTATATGTACATATCAATTGCGAGACAGTGAATGATATTTTAGATTTCATGAACGATTTAGCCTTAAACGACAGACACTTTATTTTCACCGTCATTATGACGTCATCAATCATAATTAAGCCTTATTTTGATCACACGATTTCGAAGTCATTTCTCTAGAGATTTTTTCTTGTATTTATTTTGTTTTTATTTTCATTCAAACCATGTACCTATGTATTGTATACAGTTATAGTTTGCTCACTATTATAGCAGTTCGTTTCAATAAATTTATATTGCTATCTTAACGATACGATGATGAGTATGATTCTACAAAAAGATGATGATTCAAATGATAAGTTAAAGCCAAACTGATTGTTTGTTTGCATGTATGTTTCATAATGCTTATGTGCATTTGTTTGTTTGTATGTTTGTTTGTTTGTTTGTATGTGTCTTTTTGTTCTGTGTGTGATGTGACTACTTTTCTAAACTAAATCAAAACTAAACTAAATCTCCATCTCCATCACTTACGATGCTGAATTGCTGAACATTGAAGAAATGAAAGCAAATTTGATTGACTGACTGACTGACTGATTGATTGATTGATTGATTGATTGAATGAATGATTGATTGATTGATTGATTGATTGATTGATTGATTGATTGATTGATTGATTGATTGATTGATTGATTGATTGATTGATTGATTGATTGATTGATTGATTGATTGATTGATTGATTGATTGATTGATTGATTGATTAGTTGATTGTTTAATTGGTTGATTAATTAACGATAAAATTCAATAAAAATTAGTACATCTCTTTTTCATAATAAATGTTTAAAAGTTGATAAACAATTTAAAAGTTGATTTACAATGCCTCAAATGGTTTTTATTTTTCTTTTACAAATTTTACTTTTTCTCAATAAATTTTGTTTTTGATCGCACTTTTGATTTATGTGTGTGTGTGTTTGCGTGCGTGCGTGTGTGCCAGTTTTTATATTTTGCTTTTTTATAATTTCAATCATGTTTTCATCAAAATTTTTTTTAAATTTAAAATTTTTAAATTAAAAATAAAGTGAATAAAGTAAATAGAAATTTCACTTATTCATTTTTATATAGGATGGAGCAGGCGAACTTATAAGGCGATTCAAAGAATTGCAATCAGAAAGAGTTGGGACCTATGCATTTTTTGAAAAGTATTTTCACCCCATTAATAAATTAATAATTAATTATTATCAGTTATAATTATTTTGTTATAATTAAATTTAATTTATAATTTAGTTTAAATTTAATTTATTAAACTATAGTTTTAAAAAATATAATTCAGAATATTATAAAATTAAGTTTATGTTTTTTTTTCTACCAATATTGAGTATATTAATATTGCACCAAAAAATCATACCTACAGGGGTTTTCAAGATTATCTTTCAAGCTACCCCAACTATGATTTCCAAACGTACCGACAGATGGCACACGAGACTACCGAAACATTTAAAAAAATATCAAATGAGATTATCGACATCAAGATAAAACTCAACAAGACACCAAACTGCCAAATTATTTCACAAATAATTGCTAAAGTTCAGGATCACGAGCAAGAAAAACTAAATCTGGTTCCATTATTTTTTTTAGATTTTTTTTTTATCTAGTCCTTAATGTTTTTAAATTTATAAAATTAAATTAAACTAATAGTATGCTTTTTTTAGGAAGTTATTTAAGAAAATTGTTATTCTACTAAATATTCTTTGATTTGTCCATTTTTACAGACGGCCCAAATACAATTGTCAAAAGTAGACTTAGATAAAAATGGACATATCAAGAATCAAGAACTTCTAGAAGATTTGCAATTAAAGTTTAGTTTAAAATTTGGATTTCGAATTAATCATTTAAAAAAATTATTTAAATTTAATAGATTCCTTTTAATTTAGTGTAGCTTCGATTAGTAACACACATCATCGTTTTTATTATTTCAAAACCGAAAGTTCAAGTTTAAATAAAATTAACCTTCAAACATCATTTGTACATAGAAATCGTGTTATGTAAAAATATACACACATACATTACATTATGATGATTGATACTGATAATGTAGGTGTCCATATTGTATATTTTGTCACATATAAATATTCTCTCTTTCTCACTCACACACACACACATACTCACAGATATTGTCTGATACACACACACACACACACACACACACACACACACAAACATTTAACATTAGTAAAATGGAATGAATGGCAGATAGATAGATAGATGGTTTTGCTCAGCAGCTAAATATATTAATACAATTAAAATCAAAAATAAACCAAATGAATCAGTAATAATATTAATTATTTCAAAAATAATAATTAATTGCATAACTTTTCTTTATTTATTTATTTATCCTAAAATATTTCATCTTTAATTATTATTAATTTACGTAATTTTCAATAAAATTTAAAGTAAAATGTTTTTTTTTCCATTTTGTAAAGGCTAAAAACATCAATGGAGGCTATAAATGATTGTATGGAGGACCTGAAGTACGAGTCTGAAGATCTAATTTAATTACTCTTAACAAAAAAGAAATTGCCAAATAATTTAATTAAATAATTAATAACATCTAATTAAATTTTAATCAGTTAATCTGATTAAAATTTAATCAGATTAACTTAATTAAAATTCCCCATTCGATCGATCTATTTTTTTTCAATCTGATTATCTTTCTATCAATTTGATAATATTTTATCAATCAATCAACCATTCCATCAATCAGGTGTTCATCAATCCATCCCTCTTTTAATCAATTAACTGATTATTTGAATCAATAAACCAAATCAATCAAAGATATATATATATATATAAGAAATAGATAAAACGGTAGATAGATAGGCAGATAGATAGACAGATAGATAGAAATCTGAACCGAATACCTTTCACAATTGTCATAATTATATCATAAAATTATAGTATATTACAGCAAATTATAGTAAATAATTCTCGTATTTAAACGTATTTGAGCGTATGTAGGCACGAAATTTACGACAATAAAATATAAAATAATGAAACTCTTTCAATGATAAGATAACGCGTGTATCAGTGTATTACATCTCTCTTCGATGACGTTCGCCTGGTTAATGCAATAGTCTATTTGTTACGGCAATGACATTTGATAACCACACACACACACATAAATAATATATGTACGTGTGTGTTTGTGTGTGTACGATATATGTTTGTGTGTGTATGTGTGTGTAAATTGCTTCAAGAATAACATAACAATGAAATAATTTTGAATCGGGATATGAATATGATGAATTAGGCACATTGATATATATATATATAGAGAGAGAGAGAGAGAAGATTAGAAGAAACCAGAAAAAACTAAATGATTAAACAATTACAGCCAATGAAATGAGAGTAAAAGATAAAAAAAAATAAAAACTGTACATGTGTGTGGATGATAGAGAGAGAGAGAGAGAAGGAGAGAAAGAGAAGGAGAGAGAGAGAGGAAGATACGGGTAGAAAAAGAGAGATGGAGAGAATAATTACTACATCAATTAAATAATCGAATGAATGAAAATAAACCACAAATACATCGAGTAACAAATAATAAAAAGAAACATAAAATCTAGCTACATATGTATATACGTATATATATATATATATACGTATATATGTATATACGTATATATATATATATATATATATATATATACGTATAAAGATAGATAGATAGATAGATAGATAGATAGATAGATAGATAGATAGATAGATAGATAGATAGATAGATTAATTACAGCAACAAAATAAATGGATGTATCCTATGTAATTAATCACACGGAAGGATACCATATACAAAGTAAAAAAAATGGAACAGCCGATTGGATAGCGTCCAAAGTATCTAACTTACTTAATAACATCTAACTTTTACATAATTTAAATGAGATAATAGTAATAATAATAATAATGGGCAAAATTATTAATAACAACATCAACAATAAAAATTTAAAACCTCACGGGTTGAAATAGATCAAATTTTGGAGAAGAGAAACATTGACAGAACCACCCGTCTCAAATTCGCTGTATTTCTAAATTCCCGTCACAAACGTTAATTAAAAATTAACCACAAAGAGGTACCAAAATGGCTCTTCGGGCAACATAGTTAATATATCTGCCCAGTTTCATCAAAGCATGCAACCATGCAAAGGTACCAAAAATGGTTCCTCTGATAGCAGAGAACTGTAACACTCCACATGTATATAATAGATTAGTAAAATGGCCAAAAATTAGGCAGAGAGAAAGAGAGAGAGAAATAAAAATAAAAAGGTTCCAAAGATGGTTCTTCTTCTGATAAGAAGGTGCCAAAATGGTTCCTCATCTAATAAAAAGGCGCCAGAGCCTGGTCGTCCTTCAGCATCTCCATGGCGTCGTACGTGTGCATGAGAAGTAGCGGGAACCTGGAGGTGAAGTAGGATACGTATCCGTCTGGAATGCTTCCAATGGACTCCTTCAGTTCGGCCGACAGGTCCCTGTAGTGATGTTTCTGTGGGGATTTGTATGCTTGCATGCATTCTTTGATTGATTGACTGGATGATTGATTGACTGACTGATTGGGTGATTGATTGACGGACTGGATTAATTGACTGACTGGATTGATTGGTCGACTGATCCATCGACTGATTAATTTATTGATTGATTGAATAATTGATTGGCTCCGCTAATTGACTGACTGATCTATTGATTGATCAATCGATTGATTGATTGTCTGGCTGAAAGCATTATAATTGAATGCTCAGAGCGAGCATTATGATTATTGACAGACTGGATGATTGATTAACTGAGTAATTGATTGGATGATTGATTGGCTGATTGATTGGATGATTGGTACCAACTTTATTCCTGATAACTCGTAGAAGATCTCTGACGGAGTGCCTTTTGTAAGTTCGAAACTTCCTCATATCTGCAGAGTCACGTTTTAATAAAGATATTAAAGGGTAAGAAAGAAAATAAAATTGCGGAAACCAATCAATCAATCTTCGTTTAGCATCCAGAGACCCAGTTTCCCCGAGGTAGGATGCTGTTTTAAATAAAACCACAAAAACAACAACAAAAATAATAATAATAAAAATGATAACGGGAATAATAATGTAACGGTAAAAAGCCGGCACCAACCAACCAACTAACTAACCAACCAGCCAGCCAACTAAACAACCAGCCATCTAGCTAACCAACCAAACATCAAACCAACCAACTAAACAACCAGCCACCTAACCAATTAATTAAATAAATAAATTAATCAATTAATTAATTAATAATATTGTTATAACTGGCCGGTCGACGATGAGTCCGTTTTATCCTCAATGGAAAATAACGACACGACAAACGTGTCGAACTATCATTCCATTTACAAATCGATAATCAATGTCAATCAATTAATTAACGCTAATTAATTTTACCGATAATCAATCAATGTCAATCAATTAATTAACGCTAATTAATTTTACCGATAATCAATCAATGTCAATCAATTAATCAACGTTAATTAATTTTACCGATAAAAGTTAATGGTCACAAACTGTCAAACTGGATTTCTGAACAACAATTAACTGACAGTAATCGCAAATACGATAGAAATGCAATGCAAACTCAAATGTCGAAATTGGCTCTCGACCAACCTACCAACCAACCAACCTCTATCCACCATCAAACATACAATGTCACTATACAGTATCTCGCGCGTATTTATCTTTATATGCCTGTCTTACAGACGCTTCTCGGGAGCTAAGCCTAGATATCGGAAGGTTCTAGTTCATTCCCGAAGTCTAAGCGCTACAACAATGTACAAGGTGGAATTAAACTTACCAGCTATGAAATCTGATGAAATCTTCTTCGTCCAATCAAAATGGACGACCTTCATGCCGTTGCTCTCAAGCCTGATGACGTAGATATCATCATCCGGTTTCTTCTCTAGCCTGTCACTGACTTCCTGCATGTGTGTGTGCGTGTGTGTGTGTTCGTGTGTGTGTGTCCAAGTGCGTGTGTGTTCATGTGTGTGTTCATGTGTATGTTTGTATGTATGTGTGTGTGTGTGTTCATGTGTGTGTGTGTGTTTGCGTGTGTGAATGTGTGAGTATGTATGTTTCTATGTATATGTGAGTATGTATGGTCCCCTTGTTGATAAAAGCTATGAGAGAGCTAAAATCGATTGTGTGTATGTATGGTAGTGCTGCATACGTGTGTGTATTTGTATGTTTGCGTGCTGTATATGTTTCTGTTTATGTATATATGTTTGAATGTTATTGTTTTTATGTTTGTATGTGTGTGTGTATGTGTGTATTTTTAAATTTTACTTGGCGCTATACAAATGACAAGCTAATTAGCACTCCAAAAGATCAAATATTTAACCCTAAAATGATTTATTTAATGCTTAATCATCAGCTGAAACTCAAATATTTAGAAATGAGATATTGTTTTAAGCGTTTAATTATTGATCAACCTCAAAGAACCTAAATAAGCTATCAAAAATAAAACATTAAAAAAAATGATTTATCTAGCGCAAAGAATCTAAATAAGCGACCAAAAAAATGATATATTAAAAATAAAAAGACTTTTCTAGCGCCTAACTAATTTAGTGAGAAACCTCAAAGAGTCTAAATAAGTAAGCAAAATATATAATATTCAAAAATAAAATGATTTATCTAGCTCCTAATTAGGTTAGTCGGCAACCTCAAAAAAAGAGAGTTGTCTATATTTGGACCAGAAGAGTGGGTGTTTTAGAGTTTGGCTAATAGTTGGGCGCTTCTCTGGAGTTTGGTCGATCATACTCTTTATGAGGTTCTTAGCCGTTTCCCTGTCTTAAAAGTGGATTTAAATGTGGAATTACTTTCTAAAATAAAATTTAAAATTTAAACAAACCCATGACTTACTTGAAGCAACTACAAAATCTGCACACTCAACACACACACAAACACACACACACCTTCGCCAGTCAAGGAATCAAAGTTGAAAGAGGTCTTCATAATGTTGGCCTGCCTGTTGATGGCGTCTCCAAACGGATGGACTCCCATAGAGAGGACATAATGTATCACACAACCACAGGAGAACACGTCGACTGCTTTAGTCATCTTGGGTTTGTGTAAACCAGTGTAAATTAATGTAATTCGGTGTAAATTCGTGTAATTCAGTGTAAATCAGTGTAATTCAGTGTAAATAGCATGTAAATTAGTATAATTCAGTGTAAACCAGTGTAAACTAGAGTAATCAGTGTAAATCTCATGTAAATTAGTAACTGTCAGTGTAAATTAGTGTTATTCATTGTAAATCAGTGTAACGCACGTGTGTTAAATTGGCGATGAATAACTTAACTAAGCAAATACCGTTTTCGGATTGGTCGAGAACATTTCTGGCGCTATCCAACCATCGGTGCCCGTTGCCCCGGTTGTTTTAGAAACTGAATTCTTATTGGGCAATAATTTCTTGCAAAGGCCGAAGTCTGAAATCATGGCGCGATACTTTGTAGAGGGAGTCGGGCAGGAGAGGAGGACATTTTGGGGTTTCACGTCTCTGTGCACTGAAGTTAGGGAAAAGTCATTCGGAAAACACTGATTTGGTAGAAAGTAATTTGAAAAACTCGATCGGGAAAAAATAAGATGGAAACCTATGTTGAGAGAGTGGAGGTGCGCAATCCCGGATAACATTTGCTTGAGCACATCCCTGAGATCCAAGTCACATGACGCACTCAAACCCATTTCAATGACGTCATGCAATGTGAAAGGGCAAAGTTCAAGGGCGATGTAGTTGAACTGCTGATCTTGTTCCTATAGAACAGAATAAAAAAAAATAAACAAAAATTACATCTGAAAATTTCCACAAGAAACTTTCAACAACTAATTAATAATAACGACAAAGAAACTAAATAAAAGTTTAGTATGAATGAACGAATGAAAGAATGAATGAATAAATGAATGAATGAGTGAGTGCTAGCCTCCTCCTTAAGGATTTATTTACAACATCCAAAATTGCATCTTAAAAAGCCTCCACAACAAACTTCCAACAACCATGAATGAGTAACAAGTCGACTAAATCGAAAGCTGGAAAACCGAAAGCTGGAAAAACCCACCATGCAAAAGTATCTGATGACGTTGGGGTGGTAGTCTGACTCTTTCAAGAGGGCGACCTCCCTGTTGGCGACATCCACGTTGCCGTTCAGCAGCCTCTTCACTGCCACATGACGACCCTCGAACATGCCCCTGCTCGTCATCGTGTATCCAACAAACAAAAATTAGGTCACTAATTCGCGACCCACTTACATATAATTTCAATCTTAATTAATAATATTCCGACCAGTAACGGATGGAGACTATAAACGAGGATTAACTGATTGATTAATTGTTAATATTATTCATATATTATCCATATTGTAAGTACAAAGTGGGCCACTAGTATGCTATCTGCTTACGTCAGAATTCATTTATGACCTACATCCATATAATTTCAGTCTTAATTATTAATAATATTCATGACGTTTTTATTATTATTATCATTATTCTTATTACGGAACATGACCTGACCTATATACGAAGGTCCCGTTGCAACCTTGACCCAGAACTTCGTTCTTGTTGTAGGAAATCTTTTCTATTTTTATAACTTGGGCGAGAGATGAAGAAGATGACGAGGGTAAAATAAATCAAAAGTTTTTATTAGAGGTGTGAGCGTGTGTGTGTGTGAGCGTGTTGTATGTTTTGTGTGTGCGTGTCGCGTGTGTAAAACTTTAAAACTTACTAGGTGAAATGTTGCTATCAGACGACGCTGATGACTCTCTTTTGTTCTGAAATGAGTACAAACATTATGTAAACTCGTCTTATAACAGCAAGGTGGTAAAGTAAGGCGCTATACAAATGCTCATATTAATAGTTGTAGTAGTAGCGGCAGCAGCAGCAGTAGTAGTAGTGATAAAAATAATAAATAATGTATAAACCTTAACCCAACCAACTAATCAATCAATTAACCAACAACCAACCAGCTAATCGCAACCAACCAACCAACCAGCAAGCCAACCAATCACAACCAACCAATCACCCCCTAATCCACTCACCAAATAATGTATCACGAAAAAAGTCATAAAACAAGAGAATATCACAGCGTTAAATATCGTGACGATGGTAAGATATCCATAATGATCATGCGACATATCGAAGGCATTTGATTGGTTAATAGCGAAGCTGGCGTTGCCATTCGTCAGCGAATAGGGATCTAGGTCATCTGGATGCTTAACAATGATCGGCTGTTGAGATTTGTGCTCTATTAATTTGACCGCTAGGCGGTCTACATTAGATCTTGTTGATAGGTCAGGCACTTCATGGTGACCTAGTTTCATGAAAGTTTATTGGCTAATTTAAAATAAACTTTTTATTGATACGTTTATTCACATTAAGATGCTATTCACCATAATTGAATTAATTAGATTTTAACATTGAAAAAATAAAAAAAATCTCAACTCGAAAGATTATTAACCAATAAGAAAGACCGTCTTAGCTCCCTCCTCTTTATTACGATCCGCTTCTTGATTGGCCTTCTTATTCAAGAACTCACTGTGATTGGACGGTATTTTTAGATCTGGCCCTTCCAATAGCGGTCTACCAAACGTTTTCGGCTAGAATGTTTTCGTTTTCCAACAAAAAAAAAAGGAAACAAAAATCAACAAAACCGTTCGGACGAATTGAGTCTATAAGAATTTTTATTAAAATCCATTAATAAAAAAAAACTTTTAAATCAAATTAAAATTAAATGAAAATTAAACGAAGAAAAAAGTGTAGAAAAGTTTCCAGATGACCGAAATGGTGACTGTTGAATCGTCGACGTAAGATGGCAAGGCGTAGGCCGATACTGAATTCTTTCCAATGTACAGGGTTGGACTGAAACAACAACAGCAACAGTAATAATAATAATGATAATAATGGGAACACCGCTTTTATTTTATCAAATATCACAAAATGAATATAAAGATAGATATAAAATAATGTTTAATATAATAAAGTATTTAAATTAATAAGCTGTTAGTCTAATTTGCTCATCACTGGACAAAAATGAGTACAAATAGAGGATTATAGCCAATAAAAATAAGGTTCATTCATTATTCCTATCGCAATATATTGAGTAAGATGATGATAACACAGAGTTTATTAAATTGTTTCTAAAATCGTTCGACCAAATTAAATAATAATAATAACAATAATGAAAACATCCTTTTATTTTCATTCCAAAACATACATTGCAATTAAAAATCTAAAATAATAAAACTTGTAATGTAAATTGTATAAATATCCTACAAGGCTCGCCGTACACTTTAAATGGGTACAAAGAGAAATAGAATCAGCATTAAATTTCGTTCAAGTCGTGTTCCTATCGCAGTAAATTGGGTAAGACGACGATACTACGGAGTTAATTAAACTTCCATGAAAAGGGTCAGACCAAATAAAATTAATTGGTCTGGGTACATAATAATAATAACAATAACAACAGTAATAATAATATTAGTAATAACCATGGGCCACAGCTAGCTACATAAGAAAGCAGACAAGTTCGATCGCAACTACTTTTGAAGAGCTCCGGCCCCATATTTAGTCGAAAAATAAAGATATAAATAAATAAATAAAAATATAAATAAATAAATATATATATAAATAAATAAATATAAATAAATAAATTGTGGCGATACTAAATGTGATTTCTAGGAAGTTACCTGGAGTATGACTAAAGTCAGGTCGATAAAAACGAAAGTATGTGACAAATACATCGGCGGGGCAGACAAATTTTAACTCTATCTATCTATCTAACCAATCTATCATCTGCCAATTCAAACAATTTTAAAACCACACACACATACACAAACGAACGCGCCTACACACACACACACACACACACACACACACACACACATGTACACACACACACAAACAAACAAACACACACAACAAACAAACAAACACACACAGAGAGAAGAAGCACACAGATGTAAGCAAAAAACAAAACAAAACAAATCAATCCCTTACTGAAAGTTATCCTGAAACTCATCCAATCTCATGAACTTGTCCACCCACTCAGTCGACTCGCCGACCGTATTTGAGGAGAGATGTGCCAAAGTCTCGAGCCCCATCGTATGGAAGGAGCGCGTCACCAGAACGTGCTCGCTATTCAGGGAATAAATCCCGACGACGGGGCTATCAAACTGGTGGGACCACTTGACCCGACCGGATACGGTATCCATGGTCACGAGGTGCCCGCTAGAGCTGGAAGCGAAGTGGTGAATGTCAAGGTCATCGTCGTTGTTGCTGCTGCTACTGGGCTCAGCGTCCATTGCCACGTGCGAGGAGTAGTCCATGAATGTTGCGTTCCAGCTGCGATTGGGCGTCATCAGGGTTGCGAATAAATTATTATAATGAGGTTAAAAATAGCATCCGATAGTCTGGGGCCTGCGTATTAATTAGGTCAGTCGTGTTGGACAAAAGCTGCAGTCAAGCTAACGAGACTGTGGTGGCTATGAATAAATTATGTTAATGAGGTTGAAGCGTACACTACACAACAATATCGTCTGGTTAACCCACTACGGGTTTAAAAAATGAGAACACAAATGAATTATTACTATGAATCAACGAGGTCTGCTTTCGTAGTAATGATTATAGATTATGATAATGAGGAAGCGAATTGCGATGATAATGATGATGATGTAAATTATGATAATGAGGAAGTAAACTGGTATGGTAATGATGATGACGATGCTGATGACAACGATGATGATGAAAAAGAAACATCTGCCAGCTTACCTAATCTGCCTTGATTGGCCATCAAACATAACGATGGTATATTCTGAAAATTTCGTTTTCAAGATTTTAATTTTTTTTTTCAAACCATCATCATAAACAGCAACATCGTCGTCACCATCATCATTATAATTATTCTCAATCACAGTTTATTATTACAACATCATCACGTCATCATCATCGTCGTCGTCATCATAATCACCACATTATCATCATCATCATCACCAGTTCGGCCGATAAAAATGGTGGACGCCGTGTTAGAGGGGCAGATCTCTTGAGGGCCATCCATATTTAGGACGTGAACTTTTGACCCCGTCAGTAGGTCAACCGAAAACCAAGAATCCTTTTTATACCCTTGAAAATTATAGTTATATATATTATAAAATTATATATATATATATATATATATATATATATATATATGTGTGTGTGTGTGTGTGTGTGTGTGCGTGTGTGGGTACCTGTATAGAGCAAGCCATCGTTACTCTTACACGGAGATATAGAAACTAGGTCGGGTATCGTAAAAGGCAACTTCTTCAACCCATCCTGACCTAATTTGAAAGAGTACAGCGACCCATCTTTTGGGTTGGCCAGGAAAATTGGGCCCCTTTGTTTGGGGGGGGTAGTTGAAAAAATCATTCTTTGGTAAATTTATTTAATATTTAATTTATTATGAAAAAAAATTTATTTATATGTTTAATTTTTAAGATGTATTTGAGAAATTTTCAGTTTGCAGAAATTTTTTTTACAAATTTTCCGAAATAAGCAAGCAAACCCTCTTCCAGTATTAATTGGGATCTTTAGTACAGGATCTGTGGGAGTTGGGAAGGAAAAGTTTTATAATGTAGGAAGTGAAGTTAATTTTTTTTTAAATTTAATTTTGCAAATTAATTAAAATTTAAATATCACAAAATAATTAAATTGATTTCAGAAATAATAAAAAACTAACATTGACTGACTACACTACACACTAATCAAACATTAAGAATTCAATCACAGTTGAAGTTTTAGATTTAATTAAATTGTGTTTGTATTTAATTTTTAAATAAGTAAATAATTTCTAATCGTAAATTAGTTTTAGATTTAATTAAATTGTGAAAAAATAATTAAACTAAAATGGAGCATTTAGTTTTAAATTATGAATTTATTAAGAATTACATAAAAGGGTGCATGTTGGCACCTTCTTTGAGGCTCCATATTATCTCCCCAGTGGATTGGTGGACGGCATAGAGGGTCCCATTTAGTGTCGAAATAAAAATTAGTGATTCACTGGTTAGTAAGGCATCTGTGGGCCCCTGAAATATTTTGTTTAATTAAATATGTTTGCAAAATTAATAATTTAAACTTTAAAAAATTAAAAAACTGAATTGAAATAGAAATTTTAGGATTTTATGGGCCAGACATGGATAAAGAAGATTGTGAAAAGATGAAATTTATAAATTTGAAGAAATAATTTTCAAATATGAAAGCACAGTGATATTTAGTTTAGAGTAAAAAATTTTGAAATATTTTTATTTGAAAAAATATACTTCTTTTTTGTGTTCCTTGTTCACAAGAGAAGTCGAATTTATGAACGAAAAAAAGCATAAAAAGCAGAAAAATATCTCTAAATTAGTCATTTTTAATCGCGTAATCAATAAAATCACAAAATTGAATATTAGATACTTAAAATTAGCACTTTTTACATCATCTGCTGTGTGTCGAACTTATATTATCGCTCGTTTAAACACTGTTGCCATAGAAAGAACATTCTAGATTTTTTAAAATTGTTTTTATAAAATAGTTAACAAGCGCATACGCATATATAGAATAAAATAGAATACATATACAATCTATACGTATTCTAAATTGATTAATGCCAACAATTCATTAAAAGCAGAAAATTTTAGTAAGGAAAATTGAAAAGACAAACTTTAAATTGATTAATGCCAAACAATTCGGTAGAATTCATACAATTTTGTAAAAATTATGGTAAAAATTCTCCTTCAAACATATAATCTATAATGTATATATATATAATCATCATCATCATGTACGCTTATAAGCGCTCACTCTTGGAAGTAGAACTGCCCAGCCTTCGTCTCCCGAGCTAAATCGCCGGGTTGGCTCTCTCGTATGGACACGGACATTCATTTGTGCATAACCGTACTAGGTTTAGGATTCCATAAACTTAAACTTTCTCTGAACCTAGGAAGAGTAAAAACTTTCTCTGGACCTAGAAAGAGTGTAATGGTAATAGGCTTTTCATGCAAAAACCGTCTTAATGTCTTTTCACATAATATGACCATGTGACGCCAGTACTTCGTGAGTTACATTGGCTGCCAAATGAAGACAAAATTCCTTTCAAGGTTCTATAAATGATGCAAAGATGTTGCAAGGGTACAGACACCCCCGGCAATAAATACTCAATAGATTCATGCAGGACAACATCATCGATCGAGAAGAGGAGAGTAGGAGGGTTCTGAGGTCTGTCCAAAACAATGATTTCCATATACCGCGGGCTTCAAGAAGTTCTGCAACGTACGGCCCAATGATGTGGAACGGTTTGCCAAAAGAATTGAAAAGAGATGAAACTGAAGAAGCGGTTTTCAGTAAAAAAAAAACTCGAAGTAATTTTGTGGGGAAAAGCCTTCATGAGCTCATCACGAATGAGCACCCTATAAACTCTACATAATAATAAACATATATATGTTATATGAAAATGTAATACGGATATATATATATATATATATATATATATATATATAGTTATAAAAACAATAAAAAGCAACCAAGGCAATTTTCGAATGAAAAATTCTCTTTTTTAAAACTGTAGTAACAACGGGAAGCATTAATGATAGATTCGTAACTAACGATTATTATTAGTACGTTATAATTAAATAATTAGATAATTAGTTAATTAATTAATTAATTGAAACTAATCATAATAATTAATAATTATAAGTAGATTAGCTGTAATTAGTAAATCACTATGTGATGTTAATTAAATTTCAAAATACTGCAAATCATAAGCTCAAAAATTATACCAATTGTTTTTTCCATGACTTTCAGTTTCGTTTCGTTTCTCAAAATTAATAAATAAAAGCAAATATAATTATAATATTATTACTATTAAATTACGTTAAATAAAGTTTACCAAAAAAATTAAATAAAATAAACAGTAGATATATGAAGAGAATGCTTAAATAAAAAATAATATGGTGAAAAAAAATTATAATAGATGAAAATATTGAACATAGAGATTCGAAATATACCTCACTCACACACAAAAAACACACACAGAGAGAGAGAGAGAGAGAGAGAGAGAGAGAGAGAGAGAGAGAGAGAGAGAGAGAGAGAGAGAAAGAGAGAGCAGAGAGAGAGACATATATTGTACAAATGCAAAAATGCATACATACACACACACACAAAAGGGGAGAGAGACATATTGTACAAATGCACGCATACACACACACACACACACACACACATCAAGTACAAAAGCATACAAACACACACACACATGTACAAAAGCACACACACACACATACAACACATAAGTAGTACATGAGCATAATGTTTATATGTAGCTACAATAAAAGAAAATAAGCTCACAGATGCAACATTCCAGTTGAACTTACAAGTTTTCAAAGTCATTTAATTTAACAATGAAAATTATTTTCGTAGTTTTTTTTCTCCATATAAACGATAACATCAACCATAACATTTATTTTATTGAAAAGAAGAAAACCATAACTACAACATTAAAAAGTTATTACATTAGAGTTAATTGCATTAACAAGTTGATTAATAAAGTTTAAAGTCATTAACTCGTACACGCATACATGTAAATATATATTACCTTACATATATATATATATATATTAATTTATTATATGGATCCAGTTTGAGTTCGCACAACCACTACTACTACTACCACTACTACTACTACTACTACCACTACTACTACTACTACTACTACTACTACTACTACTACTACTACTACTACACATACACACACGCAAGCACGCACATACACACGTCCGTCAATCAACTTCTCGAATGATAACTTTTGAAAAAAGAGCAAAGAATAAATACCCAAAGACCAAACAAAGTTTCAAAACAAATTAAACCACTTCGAGCCATCACCAGTTTTGGCCTTCCGGCGCTCGATAACCTCCCTATCCATGACCTTCCTGTCGTAAACTTGCCCCAAAACGGCCATAAAGTCGATGAAAACCGTGCTGGGGTTGATGGTCCAACCGTGCTCACTGGCCGCATAATCAGACGGGAAAACGTGGTGGTAGTTGTGGTAGCCCTCGCCGGCCGCACCCAGCGTGACGACGATATTTTCCACGGGGTTTATGCGGCGGTCGTACGGCTTGTTGCCCCAGAGATGGGCCACACTGTTGACGCACCAGGTGAAATTCAGGACGGCAACGTAGCGGAAGATGGCGCAGACGACGTAGCTGGTCCAGAGGGACTCGCCCCAGTAGTACCAGGGCACCGCGGTCGGGATGATGACACACAGCAGCAGTACCGACAGAAGGTAGTACCTGTGGGAGAAGATAAAAAAAAAGATTAAAGTAATTAAAGATTGATGAAAAATATTGATATTATATCAATGCATGCGTGACCCTGACCCTACTACATCACTTACACTAATACCACATTCCGACCCACCTCCTCTGGAAAACGCAGACGGGGTCAGCAAAGAGGTCAGAGAGGTCAAGATCCTTGCCCTTCTCCTTAACGTCGGGGTGCTTCCTGCACATGAGCCAGCCGCAGTGGGAGAAAAAGAAACCCCTCTTGGCATTGTGCGGGTCGGCGTCGGTCTCACTGAATTTGTGGTGCAGTCTGTGATCTCGCGACCACTCGATTATGTCGTTCTGTTTTTGGTTGAGGGCCATGACGATGATGGCGATGATGATGACGATGAGGATGATGATGATGAGGACGAGGATGATGATGACGTACGACGATTTCGAAAAATTGTTAATATCAAATCGAAACAACAACAGCAACAACAACAGCAACAGCAAAGACCTGAAAAGCCATAGAATTACAAATCCCGAGAAAAATCCTCAACGGCAACTTGGCCTTGTAAGCCTTGTGGCTCCACAGCCTATGGGCGCCAACCGTTATGCCAAACGCACTCATGTAGTACAATCCTATGGCTAGTATCATTATAAGTATTGAAGTATCACTAGTTATTAATGATAGTATCATTATAAGTATTGAAGTATCAGTAGTTATCAATGATAGTATCATTATAAGTATTGAAGTATCAGTAGTTATCAATGATAGTATCATTATAAGTATTTTAGTATCAGTAGTTATCAATGATAGTACCATTATAAGTATTGTAGTATTAGTAGTAATTATTGATAGTATCATTGCTAGTATTGTAGTATCAGTAGTAACCATTGATAGTATTAGTTATCAGTTATCATGATAGTAATGCAGTAGTATTGGTAGTAGTAATCGAATGGTGATCATTTTTTAAGTACTAGTATAGGTTAACAAATAGTAATAATAACCAACAATCGCAATCCAATCAATTTATTCGTTATATCAAATAAAACAGAATCGAATCAGGAAGAAATGAAACAATCTGGAGGCCAAAAAGATAATTAATGTCTTCTATAGGTTGCCAGTTATCTATCTAAAGCCATCTTGAGAGATAAAAACGAGTCAAATTTTAAAACGGATCAAATTAAAAATTGTTAACTGAGTTTTTATTGGCTAAATATTTTTTTTAGCTTGTTCTTAAAACAAGTGAGTAAGATTGTCAGTCTTACTGTAGTAATAAAAATGGTAGCAGTGGCAAAGTGGTAATATAGAAACCGTTGTTTTTAAAAATTGCCAGTAGCATTATTATCAAACAATCAATCGAATGTATGCACTAACGAATGAAAGCACTAATGAATGAATGAATGAATGAATGGATGAATGAATGAATGAATGAATGAATGGATGAATGAATATACAAATATAATATAGCAATAATTATAATAAAAACACAAAAAGCAGACACTAACCAAAAAGGATAGTGTAAAATTTACACTGTGGCAACAAATACAGCCCGTAGAGAGCCAGCAGATGCAGCACGGCAAACCAGACGACGTTTCTCCAGACGATTATCGTTGGGGCCGGCTTCTCAATCACAACTTGATCACCTTCACCGACAACCTGCTTAACCGGCACCTCCGAATCAGGAGAGAATTCGACGTTTCTTGGGGGCATGATCTAAGTTTTTAACCTGGTTTTGTTTGTATTTTTTTTTAGAGATTTTTTTACAGTTCTTCGTTTGTCAATTCCTGTAATGTTTGAAAAATTCTGGTATTTTTCTATATATTTTATTTTCATCTATGCAATACAAAGAAGAATCTCATCATGAATTTATATTAATTTCATAAATAATAAAATTTAAATAACTTATACAGTCTCTCTCTTTCTTTCACATACATACACACACATAGACACACACACGCACACATATACACATGAACATACATAAATACATGAATATTTCCATTGTATATATATATACATACAACGGAAAAGTTGAAAAGTACAAAAATACAATACAAAAATTATAAAAAACACAAAAAACGTCTATAAAAGTATACATAGAAATCTAACATCACATGCATATATAAAGATTTCAGAAGAGAGTTAAAAAGTTATTTGTTCAACATGGCATTTAATAACAGTACAATCCTCTGAGGAATGTCAATAGAGTGAATAACCTAATAATAATATATACATATACACATACATAACCAGCATCACATGCATATATACATATACAAATACATAACAAGACACATACACAGACATATTGTTATAACCATAATTTGCTAGCCAATCCGTTTACAGGAGATATAAATAACATTATATAATCTATGATCCTACCTAACTTAATTTTTAAGGACAAAGGTGAATGAGCCAGATAACTTTTTATAAATTAAATTGTGTTGTGGTCTAGTTTAGCTTAGTGTTTCAAGGGTGAATGAACCAGATAACTTTTTATAAATTAAATTGTGTCGTGGCCTAGTTTAGCTTAGTGTTTCAAGTGTTGAGAAACAAATGTTGTGCAACATTTTTTAGTAATTTATTACAATTCTTATTCCAGTATTACTCAGTAATACAAACAACCAAACACACAGAGTATGTGTAATTGTGTATACACCAGGGGTGAACAAACTATTGCTTGTGGGCCGCATGTGGCTTGCGAAGCTATTTTATGCGGCCAGTGAGGCCTTGTTTGCCAAGAGAAGGTCATCAGCCAGATATTATAACCAAAAAAAGAAGCCACAAATCTTAAAAAAATTCTCCCCTAGGTCCAAAAAAGTTTGCTATTCAAGTACATATGCGGCCCTTCAAAGGTAAAATAGTTCTCAATGCGGCCCTCCCAGCAAAAAGTTTGCCCACCCCTGGTATACACAGTGAATCAATGGTAATGCACCACACAAATTGCACTGTGACAAACAATCATAAATATACATGAATCACATAATGAATCAAACACAGTGCACATGTTAAACTGGGTCACTTTGTATTTAAACCCAGTTTCTGTAGCAGCAGTGTCAAGAACCTTAACCATTACACTCCACATCAGGTTAATGTTAATTATTATGCCCATTATTAATTAGCAAACACGGCTTAGTGGAACTAATATTAATAATCTTGTTAAATATTAAAATGCTAACTTAACTAAAGTTAATAAATTTAATTACTATGATTTTGTCATGGTGAAAAATGCCTATTTGACTAGTAAATGATAGTTATGACAAATAAATATACTGTGTAAATAAAGTGAAACGATGTAACTCCCTTTACTTAACCTAACCAGTAACCTGGTTTTGGGGATACCAATTATTTACAATACATTACACTTTGCAGGGTGTAGAGGCAGAAATAATAAAAAAAAATAAAATAATATTTATAATAAAATAATTGTTGACTTGAAGATTCTTTTTGTTTTTATTTATTTATTTATTTTATATTGCTAAATTCAAAATTACAAAACAAAACCATGAATTAAAAAAAAATGAATTCTAGCATTTTATTTCATATTATCTAATTATTAATACATAAATGTATTAAAGTTAAATCAAATACTTAATAACTAATTTCAATTAAAACGTAAAAAATTAAATTAATTAATAAAATTAGAATAATAAGTATTACAAATTAAACAAATAAATAACCTTTTCTTTTCTATAGAAGTAATAGTTAGCAAACTGCCAAATTTCGAATCATAGATTTCATTCAATTTAAAATTAAAACAACAAAACCCAAACCGATAAATTAGTGACTGAAAACAGGGAATTTAAATCGTAATAAGACACCATTTAATTAACATTCGACGGCCAGGCAGCTTAACATAGCAAAGAATTTCAACATTATTTATTTATAGATGTGCCTTTGTATGAATTTCTATACCTTATATGTATGGCCATATGTTCCATAGATACATATGTAGATAATTTCATATAAATGTTATATATATTCATAAATATATATTATATATCCATATTATATATAAAGAATATGTTATATTTTATATACATGATTCATATATATAGTACACGTATTAATATAATAAAATATAAAAGCACACGATATTAAAATATTAAAATAATTCATTACATAGATTTCATAGATCCAATACATAGGCATGGATATATATAAAGTTATATATACATGGATATCAATAGTTATATATAGTTAGATTGGGTATATATAGTTATATATATATCCATGTATATAGGCTTCGCTGACAAAAAAAATGACGCACTCTCACTTTCACGTGATCTCGAACCATCATCATACCATCATGATTATTTTATTTTCTATTAAATGTTTATCAGAATTTACTTTTTTATGTTTCATAATTTAAATTATTTTTTATATAGTTATTAGCTGTTAATCGTAATTATTTGGTACAAGTTGCTTGTTGCCAATTGGTGTGAGTTAAATATTGATATCGAAGTTTGTTCCATTAGAAGTCTGTGTGTGTATGCAATAGCTGATCTAGTGAGCAAAATTTCTACGGAGGAGCCAAGACTTGTGGTGGTATTGTTGACAAGCTTTTTTGGTCGGTTTTAAACATAAAACGGTCATTTTTCTGACTTCTATTAAAAAATTGCTCACAACTGGTAAACCTTAACCCCTTGGCCCGCCCCCCCCCCCTAGATCTACCACTGTGTGTATGTATGTATATGTGTGTGTTTGTTTGTGTATGCATTTGTTCGTACGTGTCCTTGGTTAAAAACAATAGCCATAAAAAAACTATCATTTGATACCCGACTCGCTAATTAATCTTGGTTTCAGGATCTCGTACGACCGGGCTTTTAGCAATTGTATGTTTGTGTATGTGTATGTATGAGTATGTGTGTTTGTTTGACATTAAAATTTAACCTTATTTATGCATTTGAATTCTTTCTTATTAAGTTTATTATGTAGTAACACACACACATACACATAATTACACACACATATATACACACACACACACACTCATATATATATATAATCACATACTTATATATATATATATATAACTATATATATATATATATATATATATATATAATCACATAGTGAATGGTGGTTACTTTCCCGTTGTAAAAATGTACGTAGGCCCAGAAAATCTTTCAAGTGTTCACAATAGCAGTTTTTTTAGTTTGTGTGTATGTGTTTGTTCGTCTTTGTGTATATGTGTTTATTTATATATACATATGTGTATGTGTGTGTGTGTGATATAATAAGAGACAACGCGGCAAACATTTTTTTTCGATACATTTACTGTGCTTACATTGCACAATGTACTATACATACATACATACATAAAGCGTAATCTTAATTTTATTATATGGAAACAATCGAGATTTTTTAATTTAAAAAAAACTTGTAGTCAATCATTGATGTAAAAAGATTATGACAGGATTAACTATTAAATATTAACAATACACAACATTACCTATAAATTACAAGTGTAAATATAAAAACATTATAAATTTAAATAGTAGATCTTTCCTCAATATCATTGAAAAATAACAAAAAGCACATGAAAATACATACACGTGTATCCACGCACCACAACCACACATGTATGGGATGGGCGGGAATCTCCATACAATCGAATCCAGTTACTACATCAGCAAGACCAGGTTCCTTTACCATTAAACCAATTCGCATTCATCGTTATTCCAAAAATATAAATATATATAAATATATAAAAACGGTGTTATAGATCCCATTTCTTAAACTTAAGTTCAGATTATTCATTAGTCAGATTAATGTGAGACGTTTCATTTTAAATTTAAATTGAATTCTATTATCTAATAATACTTGAGAAACTAAGCTTCAAATACCTATAATCGAAATTCCAAAGGAAGGTAGAGAGAGCTTGAGAGAGAGAGAGAGAGAGAGAGAGAGAGAGAGAGAGAGAGAGAGGGAGAGAGAAGTATTGTTATTATTGAGGATGTTGTTGTTGTAGTTTTAATCGCTCTCTGATCAACCGATCATTCTCTTCCTAGTCTCTCCGGAATTTCTGCCACCATCTTTACATCCTCCATCATTTAATTCACCCAGTCGTGCACCGAGACCATAGCTGTCCCTCATCCACAGTTGCAATGCTCCCAGCCTTATCGTGGCACAACTGGGGACCGAAAGGCTTCAAATGGGAACAAACCACTCAGAGATCAACATCGGAGAAACCAGTTAGGTTTTAGCCATGGGCACTGCCCATTGGGCAAACATGTCGCCGACCGCATGCCTCACCCTATTACGCCTGGCCGGAGACATTAAAACAAATCCTGGACCACTGTGTGTTGTGTTGTTGAAGATGTTGTTGTTAAAGATGTTGTTGTTGATTTACAGATTTTGGTTCGGTATTTAGTTCTAAACAATTTTTATTTTTTCCACAAATTTATTTTGCCAATCAGGTGTCAAATAAATAAATGAATGAATATACAAATGAATGAACAAACGAACGAATGAAAAAATAAATAAGATAATGATATAACTGGGCTTAGGTTCTTAGGTCTACGATCGTTCTTACTTTTCTTGACTCCTGTTCCTTTCCATCAAACTCTTTTTCTTCTTCTCTAAGGTATCTAGACCAGACGCCTTTATACAATTAGACGCCACTACACCGCATCACTATTTTCATGACGGCCTAGTTTTTTACTGTTAAAAATAACAACCAACTTACATTTACCTTCAGAGTCAATCGCGAGATCTCCAGGCATTCAAATTCCAATAGCTGCAGCATGCAGGATGCAACGGTATCTAGACCAGACGCCTTTATACAGTTAGACGCCACTACACCGCATCACGGTCTAGTTTTTTTTACTGCTACAATTAGCAACCGCCCTACATTTACCTTTACACGTACACATTTGCACACATACATGCATACATACATACATACATACTTGCATACATACATACATACATGCATACATACATACATGCATGCATACATACACACATACATAAATACATACATACATACATACATACATACATACATACATACATACATACATGCATACATACACACATACATACATACATACATGCATACATACACACATACATACATACATACATACATACATACATACATACATACATACATACATGTATACATACATACATACATACATGCATACATACACACATACATACATACATACATACATACATACATACATACATACATATATACATACATATATACATACATACATACATACATGCTACATACATACATACATGCATGCATACATACATACATACATACATACATACATACATACATACATACATGCATGCATACATACATGCATGCATACATACATGAATACATACATACAAACATGCATACATACATACAAATAGTTACACGAATTCCGTCTTCTGGCTTTTTGTACCAATGCTCAATTTCCTCTACGATTTGATTTATATAATATTACCATTGCTTCCCCATGTTCTATGCTGTTTATTTTTCGTTCATTCATTCGTTCATTCATTCATTCATTCATTCACTCATTCATTTATTTGTCAACCCATTTATATACTTAATTATTCATCCACGCATTCATTCATCCATCCATCCACTCATTCATTCATTCATCCATGCATGCATTCATCCATCCATCCATCCACTCAATCATACATTCATTCATTCATCCACTCATTCATTCATTCATTCATTCATTAAATACCCCTTTATTAATTTAGTTTGCACCATTAAGTCCATAAATAGAGAAACAGATAAAACAAAAAACTCATTTACATAGAAAGAAATTTTCTTTATTTAGATGAAACACCTTACGGGACAGGATTCACGAGAAACTGTGT